TTGAGCTCCAGCTTTCTCTTTCATGATCGGTATCGGCCTAAATAAAAAAAAATCACTTTTGTTAATAAATGTTTCAATAATAAATTTACGTTATGCATCTTTTGCAAAATGAGTAAAATTTTTCAAATCTTCGTTCAATTCGCAATCTCCGCCTAGACTTTGACATGGTTTCAAGTTTGTTGGATCTACAAACTCAAAATTTCGCAAGAGCGTTCGAAATCTTTGACATTCCATGGTTGATTCTGGCTGAGTCCTTGGTCCCGATGGTTGATAATCGTTATATCTGATTACTTAAAATAAGTTATTCCTAAGCTAAAATATTGTTAGTAAAATTGTAATTATAATTAATTGCAGAATTGATTAAAAATAAATTATATCTCAAAAAAGTTTTTGCAATTACAAGCCGCGATTTTCCAATGATGATGTTGTAGAATAGAAGGTATTAACAATTTTAAGGCTTTGTTCACCTCCTCCATAATTGCATCAAGACCTTGATACTGTTTATAAATACCCAATCGAGAGACCACACAATTTTTTTCAACAATATCACGTATTTCAGGATAAAGTTGTATTAATTGAACTTCATCAGCAACTTCAATTAGCCGATATATGGGGTGATGTCTTGCAGACCAGATAGGAGAAAACGCTCTTCTCGCAGCTCTTTTTAAAAATAGATTGTTAGTTCTTACCACTTTTTGATAATTAATTATCAACTGAAGGTAAATAAATGTCTTACAATATTATTATAAAAAAAAATTGTTATTATATTAATTTTCATTAAAACATATCAAATAATACTGTAATAAATAATATACCTGCTCATATTTTATCTGATAAAGAGGATCTTGCTATTCTTTAACCCAGGCAAGATATTCTTCAACAGATAGTTCAGGATGATTTTTCACATATGGCCATAAAAGCTCTATTGCCATTGCTTGTCGATATATATTGCAAACTGAGTCCCAAAATTTATGATGATCAGCACATTTTTTAAAGTAGGCGAACTGATTTTCAGTCCGATAGCCCTGATTTATCACAAATCGATTTCCCTACACAAAATAAAAAAAATTTATAAGTAAAGGCAAATATAAAAACTATAATGGGTAATTTATAATTAACATATTTCGAAATAAGTGGGGTACAAAATGTTCTATTTCTGTTTTGAAGTTTTGAAATCAGAAAAAGAAATAGGAGTTATCCAGAGGTAAAATGTGCAACTTTTTTTTGATGTTTTATTGTTATCATATGATATTATCGTAATAAATTAATAAAAGAACTACAGATTATCGTTAAAATTTTTTAAAATTTTTAAGTAATATTTTCTAATTATATCCCCCAAAAAACTTTTAAAAAAACCACTAAAGAAAAGAACTTGATAGATTTTTAACGAATAGTAGGATATTGATCTAATTCAATTATTTCCAGATTTTTTTTAATATTGAACATTTTAAAATATATATAAAAAGATATGCCTTTTTTCTACCAAATTCATGTCTCAATCAAATTTGTATAATTTGATTTATTATTAATATCTTATGATCTATTATTAATATCTTATGATTTTGTGATCAAATCTTGATAATTTTAATTATATCATAAGATATCGATAATAGATCAAATTATATGAATTTGATAGAAAAAAGGCATATCAAGTCTCGAAAAAAGATTCACAATCATAAAAATTATGTTATAAATAAGCTTACAAATCAAAATAAATAAGATTTATAAACCGCTGATTTCGAAATAAATACATCGCTAATTTAATTCGAAATCAGAAACTTGATCCTTAATTCCAAATCACCCTAATAGAAACAATTTACCAATTTAATTCTACATATGCACGAAGCATATTCATTTCTTCGTGTAATTGCCTTAGTATAAGAACCAACCAGGGAAACTTTTCCTTCAACTTGACGGCATAACAATATGGAACACCATCGCAAGTTACTGCTATCCACTTACGAGTTCCATTCTTAATACCCGATATTACCTCTATGTGTGAAAGAATTTTCTCAACATTTGCAACTGAATTAGGATTAATGTTAACCGGGTCAGGAATATAAATCTCGGGAACATTAACCCCGGATCTGCAACTTGTTGAGTTAAACTGATCTTAGGAGTATGTGTTGTAATTTGTTCGTTGTTGACTTTGTAATGTTTAAAAGTAAGTTGATTAGTTAAATTATCGATTGTATTACTTTCAATGTCATCTAATTTTTCTTTTTGAATTTCTGTTAACATTGGCAGTTGTGTCCCACATCTTGGACATAACCTTTTCTAATTCTCGATTTCTTGCAGATTGCACCTAGGACATGATTTCATTTTGGAAGCATTAGTTGGCATAGATGCTACAAGAGAATCAATAGTATTAGTAGAAGATAATTTTTCTTCAGACAACAATGCAAGAACCTCAGCAAGATAGGCATATAGTTCTTCATTGATGACTTTCTGCATTCGGGGCTGACATCAAAAATTTCTTCATATTGCGACCTGTTAAGAGAAGGATACAACCAGGGTAAGTTAGTGTGTTGAGTTTTGTTTTGTGATGCCATATTAAAAGCAACAAAACTGGTAACAATATGAAAAATAACAGTATTAAACTCTCGATCAAGATAATTCTTTTGATTTCTTTGTTCATTATCAAATGCAAAAAATAGAAAACCTTCAGGCAATGGTTTCTCGTGCCTTAACAATTCTTCCAGCCAATTTTGGAATTGATGATAGCTCCCCGAGCTTGTAATATGGTTATCAATATTGATAACCAACTTTGACCATGCAATTGAGTATTTTATTGCTGAGATGGCAAGTTGAATTTCTGACACATATTTTCCATGCTGAGCCCCATATATAGAATCAACCACAACAACTATCTTAAAAAGTTTTTCTTGGCTTGAAATATCAGTAGCTTGATTATTTTGAACTAAAGTTTCAATGAATTTAACAACAACCTGGTTACAGCTAGTGAGCCATTCACGCGAACTATATTTCATAAAACTTTCTAAAGATAACCTATTGTTGTTATGAATTAATAAATCTATAAAAAAAATATTAATAAAAGAATGAATAATAAAATATAAGCAAATATACAAAATTAGTAATGTGGTAATGGACTTATCGATATCGTCAAATAATGCCTTACGCTCTGCATTCGCTATCTCAATAATTGCATTGATACGTTTTTACCGAGTGGAAAACCTCGAATTCCACTGTTCAGTAAGAGTTTTATTCTTTTCATACTAATCTTCATACAAATATCGAAATGTATTCGCTTCTTCATTTGCGTCTTGTATTTTTTTTTTTAATTCTTTTGCTTCATTTTCTTGCTCTTCTAAGTATTGCCAATTTCATTCAATTCTGCAACAAAGTTCTCTATTTTCTCATTGAGCACTTTCCAAAAGCTCTTTAGTTCTGTCTAGCTCATCCACTAGGTCAGTATAACTAGTGGCTTGGGTACTTATGCTTGTGTCGGGGTGGTTTTCCTGAACTAAACTAGAAAGATGTTCATAAAATAGATTAGATAAGATGATTTGATTATAATGCGTCTGACAAAGTGAATGAAATTCTAAAAAGTAATTAGCAAGTTCGGGAATATAAGTTTGAAAAAGTAAAAGTTTCTCAGCTGCTTTCGGGCCACTTGCATTCCAGTATTTTCATTCTTCTGTTTCACAAGAGCTTAATCCAACATCTCTATACTTCTCAACTAAAGCTTCGAAAATGCACTTAAGTTCTCATGCTTTTTGTTTTTGATAACTTTTTGACACTAAAAAAAAAAACATTTAAATTATTTAGTTAACAAGATCTTTTATTGTAATTAACAAATATGCCAAGAAATCTCTGAACTTAAGGTCTCACTTACTTTTTTTAAATTAGCTTATAATACGGAATTAATTGGGATGATCAAAAGTAGGCATTTTATACTAACTATTCATATATCGTTTAGTAATGAGTAATAGCATAAAATCTTGTGAAACCCACAAGAGAAGAGGGTGTAAAAAGGGCCAATCAAATTTTGTAGATCATTCTAAAACTCAGATTTTCAAATCTAGAACTCAATTCCAAATTTGGTATATTCCCAAACTGTAATACTAAAAGTAAAGGCCAAAAAATACCAAAAAGAAAATCAACAAACATAAAATACAAGACAAAATATCTGATAATTTTGGAGGTAAAAAAATATTAATCGACTTTGACTTAGTTGGCTAAGCCGATAAATATCGACTTAGTCAAGTCAGTAAATAAGGATCGACTACAAACACTACAAATGTTAGTACAAACAGGTTTATTAATATTGAATAAACTATTTTTAGATTATTTTGATTTTGTGTAACAAATTAGTAGTTTTGATTAAAATTAGAAATAGAAATAGTTTAGCGTTAGGGTGGGGTTAGAGGTAGAGTAGTTTATAGGTAAAATCGTCTCCCCGACATTTTTTGTTAATGCTTCAAGACAGGTTTAGACTGTCGTTTTTCATATTTTTGCATATTCTTTATTTTTTAACTTCTTCGGGCTGATCCGTGTAAACAAACTTTCGCGATTAATATACTAAATGCTAAATAATATTTTAACATAGCTTAGAACAATCATGGCTAATAAGGTCAAGATCATTTGAGTAAATCGCTTATACTAATGATATACATCAAACCTCCCTAAATGAACTCCTCTCGGAATCGTAGTAAAAAAGAGGGTGTATATTTATGGAGAGCAAAATATATATGGCTATTATAAAGGGTGCAATTATAGAGAGCTGACGGTAGTAATATTTGGCATTAATGCGAAAGTATGACAATATGACTCAATGAACATACAAAAAAAACTACTTGTAATATCAAATTACCATTGTTGAGAAATCTGATCACCAGCTAAGCTGAAATTAGCTTTAGCAGATTTTTTCATTGTTAACCAAGTTCACTATCCATTTCTTCAATTTTCTCTAAAATTTTAGATCGCCAAACAATATAATCGTTATATAATGAAGTCTCTTTAAAATTCACAATTTTCTATTAATAACGAAGTACGTCATTAATATACATGTATACAAACAAATATTTATTAAGTACCGATCCACATACCATCGTTCCACTTCCTGCCCGGTCTCCAAAAGAAGATTCTTCTTTTTGATCACGATCATTATCATCATCATCATCATAGTCTTGCCGCGTTCTTTTCTTCATACTTCCTTCGCTAACCTCATTTATATAACTATTCCCCTTCACTGGAGATATCATAAATGTCATGAGACCTTCATTTTTAATTTGAGACTTAAGTTCGTTGATATAAGATTTACAATATTTCTCAATGAGTCGCGTCATATTTTGAAACGCAAGGCGTGATATGGAAATATCAGGTGAATTTATTAGCTGCTGACTGATTCGACTTTGAGCCTTAAATAAATTTAGTTCAGTAAAAATACGTGAAATATACACAGCCAATTTAATTGAGCTTACCCCAAAAACTTTGCAACAACACCCAAATACTGCCACCTTATAAATATCATCATTCCAATCAATTTCTTTAATATTCGCTGCGCTTAGATCCTTAACCCATTCCTCTTTGAAAATTTCAAACATTGTTTCAACGTAAGGGATAATTTTGGGACATCCGAATCTTGTAGCAAGTGAATCAAAACTTATCAAAGAAGGGATTTCCAATCTTTTTCTGATGTAAGAAAGTGAAGAATGATAATTCTGTTCAGTGGTGTTTGCCAATTTCAGCGGTCTTTTTCGGTCGAATGGGATACGAAGTCTGAAATATTTAAGTAGTGGTAAATAATAGTTTGAAAAGTATGCTTGAATTTCGTATAAAGGCATTACATTTCACACGCGATATGAACTGCGTAGATAGGCTTGCATATTGTCCAATCCTTAAAACCTGGTGCACTTCCAATCTTTACATCCATTTGACTCGAAATTTCGGTTGCCTTTGCCTTAATACGTTTCTCATCTTTGGACAAGTCAAGGGATTGAATTATATTATTAAAAACAATTCCATTACGCGTTGAAAACATTTTGGTTCTAGACGAAGGTTATATGAAGGGTACATGAAGGTTATACAAAACGCGTTTATCCCTCCCTGGCAATAATAATTAATGGTATTACAGGGGCAGGGCCGATGATTTTCTGCGGTGATAAATTGCAAATTCCGTCCGTGACAAATCAAATTCTGCAAAAATTCCGTAGAAAATAAATGAACCTAAAATACGAGCATGTCGAGTTAAAAATTTTGCAATTATCCTAACAACTCACACTGGAAATTTTCGCGTACTTATACGCATTCCGTGTTTAGGACCTGATTCCGTGATTTACCCTAGGTACCGCTAGGGATGTGTTACATAAATTACAATTTTGTAATTTTACGTAAATTTCATGAATTTTGCATAAAGTACCGGATTTACAAAAAGTTTGGCCAACATTATTGCATCATTTGAATGTACAATCCGAATTGTAACCCCGAAATTTGATTTCAGAAACTAAATGTCGTGTGTTCTTACATCTTACACAAAATTACGTAAAATTACAGTGATTTGGTCTAATTACGCAGATGATATAGTGATGATCACTAATCAAGATTTTTTATAGTAAAAAATTTTCCGATCGGTAAAGACTAGAAGAAATATCTTTTAATTCCTCGCGTAATATTTAACATTGCTTAACCCTATAAGCAAAAAATATTTAATAGTGCAGATGATATAGTGATGATCACTAATCAAGATTTTTTATAGTAAAAAATTTTCCGATCAATTTTTAATAGTAAAGACTAGAAGAAATATCTTTTAATTCCTCGCGTAATATTTAACATTGCTTAACCCTATAAGCAAAAAATGTTTAATCGTGCAGATGATATAGTGATGATCACTAATCAAGATTTTTTATAGTAAAAAATTTTCCGATCGATTTTTAATAGTAAAGACTAGAAGAAATATCTTTTAATTCCTCGCATAATATTTAACATTGCTTAACTCTAAGCAAAAAATGTTTAATGAAAGGTGTCTTCACATAGTAATAATGCTAAAATTTTTGTTTTACTAGAAAAATACCTTTTTTTCATGGGTATTAAATTTGTTTCATGGGTACCAAATTTAGTCATATGATAGTGTTGAACAAGTAGTACAAGTAGATAACGATAGTGATGCAATCTTTGCAACTTCAAGTTTGAAAGATTTATTAGGTTCTATTTTGTAGAAGGATGGTAATTACTAGGAAAATTGCTGAATTTACATAAATTTATTTAAACCATTATTTTTTTCAACTACCACCTTCATTCTAATCTATTATTATTATATCAGATATTAGGTCTTGTTTATAATTGTCAAACACCACCTCTCCGTTTCCAAAATACTTATATTCATTATCTGTTTTATTATCTGGTGGTGTGTTTGCACCAAGAAATAATTCTTTATACTTAATAATACAATCAAATGTAACTTTTCCTATTTTAGCATTTTTATCAAAGCCTGATGCTGTTCTAAAGAACTACATGAGAGCCCTGGATAGTGATATAGATTGAGTAAAGTGCCATTGTGTTGTTTCTGCTAAGTAATTATACTCTGCATTAACATATATTTTATGTTTTTTAGATTTATTTAAAGCAACTAAATGACTAGATAAAACCTTGGTCGGTCTTATTTTATTATAATTAAGAGTGCTATATAAGGAGCAGATTTTTTTATTAGGTTCGTTTATATTATAGGCTGGGTTGAAGGTGCCTTTGATATTTTTCAAACGCTATTTAATATATTTATTTCATTCTCTTCTATTTATTTTACCCGGAACAAGAGTCATTTCCATAAACACAAAAATCTGCCAGTTTCATCTACTTTGACAGGAAGAGAAACATGAATTGTTTTATCAAAAAAATAATCATTTTGTTTATTGTATTTAGCAAGTTCATTGGCTTTATAATTAGCATTATATTCAGCTTTTTTTTTTTTTTAAGAATTGTTTTTACTAGGGCATCTAGGTGGCATTTGTAAATATTGACAAGATGAATTGACAAAATGAAAATATTCACATCAAGGAAAAGTTAGTATCATTTATATAGAACCTTTTTCAAAGCAATTATACATATTAATTATTTTAATTTTTTTTTCTTTGTTAAGGATACTATTAAAATAAAGCCAGAAAAATTTAGCAATTTTAACTAGACAAAGGGAATTTGACAAATTTATCTAGACAAAAGAAATTTAACGAATTTCAAATTTATCTAGACAAAAGAAATTTGACAAATTCATCAAACAAAAGAAATTCGATAAGTTTACCCAAACAAAGAGAATTTGATATTTTAATTAAACTATCGATTTTTTAAATATATAAGTCTGTTATACTAATTATTAATTATTATTTTCTAGGCAGTTATTATTTGAGTGCCGCCAAGAAAAAACCTATAATTCTTTATCTAATAGTAATTATGAGATTTTTCTTGGCAATACTTATTTTAATACGATCAATATTATATTTTCTCAACAGGTTTATCTTGTTGGTACAAATATGGAAAATAGATTCCAATATAGTTTACATGTTATGAAAGTCATTATTCAACACTTAACTATTTAGAGAGCTATTGATACATTGCAACATGATTTTCCATGTTATTTATTAGAAGTATTATTGTATATTTTCTAAATTTATATATTATTTACATATTGAGTTGTAAATATAGAAAATATTATAATGTAAAAAAATTTTAAACCTGAAAATTATTTAAAAAGGGTTTTTTATATGCTATGTTTTTAATAAACAATACTTACAAGAGTATTAAAAGAAGCAATAACATCAGCAAATTTAATATAGCGTAATATTACGTAATAAATTATGATCCGTAAAAGAGGTGTAATATAATGTAAGATATTTCGAAAACTTGCGAAATATTAAATTACGAAATATTATATAAGATATTATGAAATATAGCGTAAGATATTTCGCAAAGTTGCGAAATAGAAAGCGAAATTTTACAACAAATTTACAGTTAGTTTATTAATTCACATTAATTTGAAATTGATTAGTGTAAATAAAAATAAGTAAAACTAACAACAATAATAAAGTGTATATTATTAAAAACATTTAATATTTTAGAAATTTAAATTTGATTATAACTAAAATTATTTTAATATAAATTGGGAAATCTTAGTATAATTTAAATAGATTTGCATTATTCCGAAATAATTTAAATACTATAAAATAAATTAAATAAAATTGATAGAATTATATTCTAATTAATTATAAAATTAATTTTGAAATATTATAAAAATTAAATTTCAGTTTATTTTGCTTTGTTTTAATGTTGTTGGAAATATTTCTATTTTTTGTCTTATGAAAGTCTCGACTTTAGTTAAATAAACTAGAAATATTTTAATTTTTTTGAATTAATCTGATTTAATCAAATTATTTGTACTAAAAATAACTAATATTAAAACTAGTGCTACAAATCGTCAAAAATTTTACATTTGATTAGTTGTCAACTTTTCGATTATTTGATTTTTATTTGATTTTTGTTCGATTTTTATTCAATTTTAAGGGTAGGGTGAACGTAGATCATTTCTTATATAAGTAAATCAACCAAAAAAAATATTATACAAAAATCGAACACATGTTATATATAAAAGTTTTTAAAAATATAACCGATTTTCATAAAAGTTTTAGGGTAGATAGATTAGACTTTTCTAATTCTAATTATAATAATTTGAACACTTATATTATTTAAAACTAGGTTGATCGAAATTTGCCTAGATTATACAATATAAATATCATATAATCATCACCTGATTTCAATTAAATGTTATTGTAAAAAAATTAGTAATATAATCACTAGTAAAAATGATCAACATTCACCCTACTCTTAATATGAATTTTCAAAAATTTTTCAATCGATTAGATGTCAACTTTTCAATTAGTTGTGATTTTGATTTTGATTTGTAGACTTAATTTAAACTTTTAAAATGTCTTAAAATGCAGCACTTTAAACTTAATTATTTTGAATTTTATGGACTGAGTATACTTATATATGTAGGATAAAAATAGATTTTAGGATTAATTTAAAGCTATTAAAAGTTTTTAATAAAATTTTTAGAAAATCAATCATAAATATAAGTTTAACAAATATCGCTATCTTGTAATACTTTATTTTATATAAATATAGAGACAAATTATTTATAAATTTTAATATAAGTTTAATTTATTTAAATTAATTCGAACTAATAAAAATAATCTTAATAGAATATTTTAAAAAAACTTGCAGAATTAAACATAAATTGAAGTTATTTAATTTGTTTTATATAATTAGATATTTTTTAAAATATGGGGTTGAGTCAATAGAAATTAAGCAAATTTTTTATAGTAAAAATTTTTTATAACTTTAAACAAGAATAACTTAACAAAAACTTAACCAAATATAATAAAAAATTTTTTAAATGATTTTTATAAACTTGTAGAATTAATTTAAAAAAAATTTTACTAAATTTAATCAAGGTTTTGTTAAGTTATTCTTGTTTAAAATTTTAAAAAAACTTACTAAAAAATATTTGCTTGGTTTCTATTGACTCAACCCTATATTATTAAATACTTTATTTTGTTTTCGTTTAAATCGAAACAATTCGAATTATTTCTAATTTACTTAATAAGATTTTGGTGCATGTTTTACTATATTTTGTTAGTTTTAATTATTTAAGTATATTAAATCGCACAAGTATGAATTTCTATACACTATAGACTTTTTTTTCAGAGTCAATTAAATCACAACCATGCGAATTTAGTAGAATAGGTTTTATTTGTCTTATAATTGTCTTGTTATAATAGTAAATATTTTACTTTTATTTGGCATAATTTTAACCCCTTACATATTTTTAGATTAAAATTTTGAGTATATAAAGATCTAGAATGATTTTTGTAACAATAAAATAATTCACAATAATCTATTTTTGTTTAATTTACTTATATGGTAATCAATTGTTTTAAGCAGATTAATTATTTCGCATATTATTAATATAGTAATATAAAGTCTAAAAGTATAATAGTTTGATAGAGTTAATCCATTTAAAGTAATCAGATTATATTGCATTGTTTAAGCTAATCCAAAATTATTTTAAAGCAATCTGAAATACTTTTTTAATTAATCGAAATAATTTGCATTGTTTAAACTAATCCTAATTTATTTTAAATCTATCAGAAAAGGATTTAATTTAATCGAAGTAATTTGCATTGTTTAAGCTAATTCTAATTTATTTTGAATCAGTTATTTTATAAATCGGATTAATTCGCATTGTTTAGACTAATCCTGATTTATTTTAATCTATTGGGGAGTTATTAAAATCTTTAATAAAGTCCGAAGGCATTTAAAATTGCAATAAATCGATATATGCAAATGTATTTAATATAATAAATTTGATTTAATTAAATAAAGAAATTACTTCAAATAAATTTCAATTCGTTGAACTTCAATTAACAAAAGTAATAATAATAAAACTGATTCTTTAGTAAAATATATATGTTTAAAAATAATCAAAGATAATAATTTTAATAACAACTTACTGTATTGCGAGATAATTCGATTACATTAGAATAATTTTGAAAAGCTTTAAATAAACCCACTTCAGCTGTCTTTCTCTTCGTAGTTTTCCAATCAATCTAATATTCATTATACTTATTTTATTTAGTTCACTTTTTCTCTCGTTAATTCCAATCTGTCTGCATTTACCAAATCTTTGATTTATTTTACTTTTTCAATTTCGTCTTTCTATAAGCTTTTATTATCTTTTTTATATTATTCTATCATTTTCTTATACATTATCAATTATTTCACACTATTTCAGATTTATTTTATTTTATTTTTTATTTTCTTTCTTTTGCTTTTTCCTTTATTTTATTTTTAATTATATTATTACTTATACAAATGGCCCAAAATAAATCTAAATTTAAATTTCATTCAACTTGTGACACCAACAGGTGCGCACTGTTCGCTGGAAAGTTCTCTGGTCAATCTGTAGCTACCTCTGTTACTCAGAGGCCTACTACACAATATATCAATCTAGTTGAAACTGTTTTGCAACATTCTTCTATACCTTTCAATAGTTAATTTTAAAAAATATAATTTGTTTTTTTTTGTTTTTTATTTATTTTATTTAATCTATATTACATATTAAAATAATTTAAGATTAAGTTACGTTGGCTTCTATTAATGATGTGCTCCTCAATTTAACTGAAGAAATAGCTAAATTAAATCGAAAAGCTTCAGATTTAGATCAATGTGTGTTGGAAGATTTTAGACTTAAAAATGAAAAAAGCTTCATTAAAGTAATTATTTTTTAATATTTATGTTTTATTTAATTTAATTTAATCTAATATATTTTACTTTTAAACAAACAAGTTTAGCAATTGCCAAAAGATTAATCGTTACAAATATTTATCCAACATTAGATGAATTAAAAGTGGCTACAAAGAAATACCTTGTTGAATTTGAGTGTGATTTTTATGAAAGAATAAAAACTAATGATTGGAATATATATTATGAAGAATATCTGGCTAGTTCTGTAAATTTTTTAAATTATTTGAAATGTTTTGAATTTAGTCTGCTTAATGCATTTTAGTTGAATTTGAGTCAATCTATTCTAATTTCAAATTTAATTTAATTTTATGTTTTATTTATTTTCTAATTTTTTATTTTTTAAGTTTATTTGAACTAATTCGCATTATTATTTTTAATTTTAAATTAATTTATTTTGTATTAGCTTCTAGCAGCTCATCACTCATGTCGTAGCAGGATTGCGACTAAAATTAAAGATTCTGTCTTTTCTGTATTCAGACAAGCCCAATTAGATAGAATAGATTGTGACTAAAATTAAAGATTCTGTCTTTTCTGTATTTGGACAAGCCTAATTAGATAGAATAAAATCAAATTCTATGCCTAAAGTAATTTCAGATTGGAAGGATTCAGATAAGACACATCAATGTTATAAAAAATTATTTACTCCAATCAATGTCTCTAATCCTGATAATATCTACTTCTTCTGAATACTTTCGAATGCTTGGTCTAATATAACTCCCACAAATATGCAATTGGTATATATGATAACTATATACCAGATAATGCTTAATTCTTTTTATGAAAATTTAATATGAAGAATGATGTTGTAATATTTAGAATAAATAGAAATTTAGTAAGTTAATTTATTAATTTTTTTGTTACTTAACCCTAACTCTAATCCAAACACTAACATTAACTATAACACTAACTTTAACACAACACTAATACTAAATTTATTTACTCTATTTAATTTTTGTATATTTCTTTAATAAGGATAAGTTAGAAAATGGTACTGTATTTCTCCTGCCAGTCACTGACAATGAAGATACTATGCCAGAAAATGACCCAGCTGAAGTTGTGGCCTGTAAAACTAAAAAGGGTAGAAAAAGAATTAGAGCAAAAGCACCTTCTAGCTTACGTAAAAAGAGTAAAACTTCTGCTTCTGCACAAACACCTACATTAATTTGCAAATCCCCTCATAGATCATATTCTCCCACAACTCCAAAAAATAACTAGACTAATTCTGATAAAAGCCAAACTGATCCGAAAGAAGGGACCTCAACCATATCAAATCTGCAACAAACCACACCTTCTAATAATGATAATGATAATGATGATGAACAAGAATCTTAAATTTTAAATATTTTATTTTAACTATAAAATAATAGATGGACGTAACTTTAAGTATTGGTTGGTTATGACAGTTGTGTGCGGGGCTGGGGCACATAATAAATATTTCAAATAATATGTTTATATAATGTTTCTATATGGTTTTGTTTTTTTTTAATTTACTTAATAAATTCTTATTTCGTATTTAATTGATTTTAATTAATATAATCGTATAAAATTTTACTATATATTTAAATTTTAAATAATTTGAAACATTTTGAATTAATTCGAAAAAAATTGCGTTTGAAATATTTTAAATAATTCGAAATAATTCGAAATAAGTTGAATTAATTTATTATGATTTAATTTATATAAGAACATATTAACATAAAATATACAAAATCAGATTATT